TACTTGCGTAGACCGCATGTTTTACTTGCGTAGACCGCATTATTGTTCAAATTTCATTACTTATGTAGACCGCATGTTTTGCTTACGTAGACCGCATAATTGTTCAATTTCATTACATGCGTAGACCGCATGTTTTGCCTGCGTAGACCGCATGTTTGTAATCAATTTCATTACTTGCGTAGACCGCATGTTTTGCCTGCGTAGACTAGACTGCATGTTTGTAATCATTTCATTACTTGCGTAGACCGCATTATCGTTCAATTTCATTACTTGTGTAGACCGCATGTATTGCTTGCGTAGACCGCATAATTGTCCAATTTCATTACTTGCGTAGACCGCATGTATTGCTTGCGTAGACCGCATAATTGCTCAAATTCATTACCTGCGTAGACCGCATGTTTTGCTTGCGTAGATCGCATACTTGTTAATTTCATTACCTGCGTAGACCGCATGCTTATGATCAATTTTGTTGCCTGCGTAGACCGCATGCTCCACTTACAAGTTTGTATTTTCGCAGGCATTGTCATTCTCTCCACTTACTTTGCGTTGTCACGCATTTCGAGTACATTACTATGCATGTTGTTAACAATATTGTACCTGTTAAGTTTGTTTTCTTTGCAGGCACGATATTGTATGTACGGTTCATTTGAGGCTGGTGCAACCAGACGAGCCGCACAGGTATTGTATCCTCCGAGTGAGAAGTATCGAGAATTGCATAATTCTCTTACATCCTTTCTGCATTGTAGTGTAGTTTGGTGTTTGCTAGCTTAAAGTTGTCGCATGTATGCTTCATTACAGCTTTCTTTGCATGATCATAAGTTATGCTCGGCTTCGTGCATTGTCTTGCATTTTGCCCCTGCTTTCGGGCGCATATCTTGTTTGTCTCGCATGTTTGTCTAAGTCTTCGGCCTTGTCAAAAATAGGTCATCTCTGGCCTTTGACATTCACTCCCGTCATTGTTATGACTTTCGAGTTCTGTCAAAGAGGGGTAACTGTAGACACCCCATTTTTTACCGTCATCAAGACTTGGACGTCACCGTTTGAACACTCGGTGATCATCCATGTTTGTGTTCGTTTGGAGTTCCTGGAGGTCTCGGCTACGTGCCTTGCCGCAGGATCTCCGAATTCGACCGTTCAGTGTCTGGCTTTGCACCAAACACTTGCATTTTGCCTTGGAAGGGTAGGGAATGCCTTGTGAGGCACCCCCACATACCACCGGCCATGGCCAGAGGCCACCGGCTGGTTTTTGTCTCCATCGGCACTGTTTTTTTGCCGGTCGGCACCCTTTTTGCCGGTCGGCACATTTTGTTGCCGGTCGGCACTAAATTTAGTCAAAATGACATTTTTGGGCAGCCGACCACTGTTCATCTACTTTATGTAGATATTTTGTGCCAGCTGTGATAGTTGGCACCAACTCTTCTGCCCTCCATACATGCGTATGGAGGGATGTTCCTCTAAGCAAGCTTGTTGAATAAGCTTTGCAAGAGGGACTTCTGTAAGTGGAGGAGCCTTCTCCTTGTTCTAGGTTGGAGACTTTGAAGGCAAAAACCAGAGCTTACACATATAGATACACCCTATCTCTATATTCCTCTCTCTCTCCTCCCTTGTGTGTGTTTCTTGGCCTAAAAGTGTGATTTTACCTTACTTTTGCACCAATACACACACTATTACACCTTGCTCCGAGGTTGAGGACTTTGAGGGTTGATCCTTGAGTTTTTGGGCTATTTTTGATCAAAAGAAGGGGGCTGCCTTGGCTGTTCTTGAAGTGTGCTTCAAGGGTGAGCATTTTACATTAGTTTCCCCAAACTTGCACTAGTCTTTTACCTATCTTACTTGCTGATTTAGTTTTCGTGCATAACATAAAAAAGGCTTGTATTTTCATGCTTAATAACTTTCATTAAGAGTCCTTCATGGTTTGAGTTCAAACTCACCCTCTTAGGCCCCATTTGGCCTTTTTTGTTGCCTCTTTGGTAAGGCCTTGTTTGCTTAAGTGTTTTGGTCTTCTCACCACTGAAAACCAGTGGATTTTTAGTGGTGAGGGAGGTGGTTTGAAGTCTTGCATAGGGGAGGGACACCCCTCTCCCTTCATTGTCTTGTTTCCTTGCATTTTGGCTCAAAAGGGTAACATGCATGCTTGATTGGTTTTAGCCCTTTTTCAGAGGTTTTTGGGTGTTTTTAGGTCATTTGTAATCTCTGTTTTTGGTCGGATCTATGGCCATTTGCATGCTTAATATACTTGCTTTATATCCCCCTATTTGGCTTAGAAATGTATCTCATGTTTAGGCCATGTTTCTTGCATGTGTTGGCTTAGTTCCATGAAGGTGTTGGCACTATTTTACCATCTTTAAGGTCTGTTGGCCATTCATTTCAGTCATACTTGCCTCGGTTGGTGTCATCTCTTTGTGTTTTGGCTTGTAAGCTTTGAGCATATTGACCTCTAGTATTTTTACTTGTTTTAATCATGTCATGAGAGGTCATGTTGGTGGGGGTAAGTTGTCTCCCTTTTGTGCCTTAACCTTGGGACCATAAGTTTGCTTGTTAAGATGAGATGTTGTCCATCATTTTGAGCACCTTTTGGTGCTGTTTTGGGGTGGACTAAGGTCTGTCCCTTTATGGTTCAAAGGCTCCATTGCATGCTTGTTTCATGTGAGTTGCATGTTTGCTTCATTAAGCCTCGTAGCATGCTAACCCCATTTCCAAATTGGTTTATGTTTGCATCACATTTGCACCTTGTATGCTTGGCATCACACATTTGTCATGTTGGTTGCATAGTACTTGTTTGTGTGTCTTGCATAATTGGTATCATGTTGCTTTTGAGCCATGTTTGCATAACATGCATTGCATTACTTGGTTTGGGGTGTCAAACCAAGTGTGAGAGTCAAGGAACATTCATACTATGAGTGATGTAATGTGCCTTGATTCTCGGTCACCGGGACCCTTGACTTCGGCATGATAGGGTCTTGGTCCTCATTTGTATGGTTGCATGCATCTTTACATCAAGTGGCAAACTTGATCCCTTGGGCTATCATGCACCATTGATGGCTCGAGGATCGAGGGCCATGCTTCCCTGAGTTCAGAGCATGATGGGAAGCATGACCATGCTCACATGTGCCTGAAAATCCCATGCCGTATACTGTCTGTTCTCTGTTGCTGTCAAAATTGTCTTCTGCAGGAAGCTTCTGCCGACCGGCAAAATTCAGTGTCGACCGGCAATCTTTGAATGGCTGATAAATCCAAAAACAGCAGATGGAAATTCTGCACTGCCGGTGGGAATTCCCCCCAGCCGGTGATACTCTGTAGCATGCAAGGAACCTGTCCTAGGGCTTTGGCATTTTTCAGAGAGACAGGGCAGTATAAACAGAGGTGGCAGAGGTATGGTACGGGTTTTTCAGGCGAGCCGAGTTTCGAGCACGCATCATTCGCGCATCCCGAGGCAGAGGCTACGGCCATCCTCTTCTTTCTTTTGCATTCTTTCTATTAATTAATTAGAAATTCTGTAATAATTTATTTGCTTATTATTCGGACTGTAATGTTTATTTGGTCCCTCCGAGCGATGGCAAATCTGTAATAAGTGTGGGTGCGTGTGTGTGCATGTCTTCCAACCCCCCACTTCTTTCTTCCCTTTTACTTACCTGCTTTGATGGTTAGTATTAGGGCACGTTTAAATTAGCATACCTTATGTTATGCATGCTTACATTCATGCATTTGTATTGCACGCATTAGGCCCGGTACATCACGCTAACTGCATTTGTACTTCAATTCAAAATTGAATACGTGCATCAAATTGATCGCATTTCATATGCCATGTTTAGGTTAGCCGAGCCTACTCTAATTACATTTTTGCATGCGATGCATTAGTCATTCTTTTAACATGAGCTAGGACATGCATGTTCGCTAACTAGTTTATTGTTTTGGCACGGAGTACGATGTAAGTGTTTTCGCTTTAGCATATTGCATGAGTGTGAATGCTATCATGACAGCATGCTTACCATGTGGCTAGATGCTTATGTGAGATAAACTGTTTGAATGCCTGTGGGTGAAGGTTGGATTGTTTGAGTTGGAAAAACTCGTTGAAATCCGTATTTTAGCCTACTTGCGAGTAGCAAATTCCAAAACATTTTTCCAAAATAAACGGATATGCAATGTTTATTTCCAAATTAGGCAATCTAGTCTATACTTGTTTGCTGCGCGCATAACATAGTAATTCTAGGCTAACAATTGGTTTAAGAACACATAAAGTTTTCAAAATCAGATATCACGGTTAGTAGAGGCCGGTCTCCGGACCGGGCGAAAGGGGGTGCTCATAGCTGACCTTCCCCGATCGTACCCAAGCTCCCGAGCCGAGACAACTCCGGTGATGACGGACACATGGCCGTAGGCAAACGAGTCAGGGTTTCCTAAATTTTCCCAAAATAAAATATTTAGGTGGCGACTCTGTATCTGGCAAAGCAGTCCATGTTTGGCACTTCTTTCAAAAAAAATCTGTTTTCTCAAAACGATTTGCCGGATTTGGACTCTTTGGTTCAGACTTAGAACCGTGACAAATTTGAGAGTCTTGAGCTGTAGTGACCCCAAATGAACAGAACGAGACTCACCCTCCCGGGGCGTTCGGGGACGTCTACAGGGACTTAGTATGGAAGACGGTGGACGCAATCATGCGAGGGAAACCAATTCCCAAGTTCTTACTAAGATGGTAAGACCCTCACAAAGTTGTTCAGGCAAGCAGCAGTGGGTATTACAAGTTGACAAAAGTAGATAACGGGTTCAGAACTAGCCCTATCAACACTAAGTATGTAAAGGAATACTTTCCTTAATTTCTTTTGTCTAGAAAACAGTTATAAGTTTCTTTTGTTAATATTTTCAAAGCAAAGTGTAAAGAAAGTGTCATATACTTAGTAAACTCGTTACTCTTGTAACCACTTAGTTACAATAAAATCCTGTCAATGGCAAAAGTACTAATTGTCTTGAGAAGTTATGTAAAGACAATAAAAAGAAGGCAATGAAGTGAAATTCAACTACTCAATATCTTTGTTTCTCATAGAAATCAAGTTTCCCAAAGCATGATTACAATATTCAAAGGAAAACAGAAGGAAAAAAAAAAAAAAGATAGCAAGAATACCAAAAAAAAGAAATAAGAAGAGGAGAAAAAATCATGACAAGGTCACAATACATCAAATTAAACCCTTCATCAGGGAGTCCATCAAAGTCACACCCCGAGGCAACTGAGCAACAAGAGCGGAGTCTTTTTCCTTGAACAAATCCCGGTTCTGACGGTACTGCTCTAAGGCACCCTCACAGTCTATGATGAACTCTTCCAAGGAGGTAATTATGGCCACATTATTCTCGTGCTCAAAAAAACCATCAACTGTTTGGAGTCTAGCCCTCATCCACGATAAGTCCAAACCATTCTTCTCAAAACCATCGAGATTTGCCTCAACACTTTCTACAAATTTGCTGGAAGTGGTCAGGACCTTCTTCATGGCGAGGTCGTTAATGAAATTGGCAAAGGACTCCAACAGCGCTGTCTGCACAATTGGGCCTGGCACGTTGAAAGCGGTGAAGGTGCGAGGGTGCAATTCCTGGATACGGACAAGGATGGGAGTAACTTCGGCGGAGACCCAATAGCTCAGAAAAGAAACTTTTGCTGAAGGTTGCGTAGACTCTCTCATATCACCACTAACTTGAGTTATGGGGGGGAGACTTGTAGAGCAACCAAAAGTCTGAGGATGGTGCACCTCCCCTGAAGACGACTGCCCAGCAGCGTTGGAGTGAGTAGATGGCGGGAGGTGGCCAGGCGAACTGATCTCAAGAGATAGGCCAAAACTTCCCACATCATCCTGCCGTTCCGAAAAATAATCGTCTATGTGGAGGTCTTCAACATTTAAATCTGGTAGAATAGTGGTGTCCATTCCTGTATAAAAGTCTAGTGATAATCCAAGATTAGCTGGCACCTCAGGGAAGTGAGTGGGGTACAGATCAGCAAGTTGCTCAGAAGTTGCTGACGCAACTGGGTCAGAAGTGTCAGCGGTAGCAGTGGCACCAGGAGTGGCCATGTTGGCAGTTACTTCTGCAAGTTGAACCAAATTTGGGGGACCCACATCAAAAGTAGCCGCCACATCTTCACCCCCCTCTGCAACTGGGATACTAGAAATGATGGTTTGCTGAACTAGTGAAGGCTTAGTGGATTGACAAAAATTCCAAGATCCAGCTTCCATTGGGAGTGGCTCAACTTCAAGAGGCTTTCTTGCCCCACTCTTTTCTCTCGGGGTTTCAAGAACAAAATCTTTCCCACCAACGAAGGAATGGTCGGAATAAATAGGGTCTATAGGGTTTGGAGCCGCAACACCCTCAGTAATCATACCAATCTCTATAACTTCCGCAGCATGGGGGACTTGTCCACTTTCAGTAGGAGGGATATCATGACCTTCTTCCACATCTTCAGCCTCAGCAATTGGCTCAGCCTCAGCCATTGTCTCAGTCTCAATCACTAGTTCAGCCTCAGCAACTGGCTCAGCCTCAGCACTTGGTTTTCCTTTAGCATTCGGGAGTACCAGTCTGCAGGTCCTAAGTCTAGTAACCCTTGAGGCAATAGGGAGGTTGTCGTTGTCGTTGTCGTTGTCGTTGTCGTCGTCGTCGTCGTCATCATGGTCTGAATCCGAAGAGAGTCTGATGCCACGTCTTGAGACCAGTAGGCCCTGAGAAGCAAAGAAACAATGCAACTATTAAAATCAAGATTTTAAAAAAAAAAAAAAAAGTACAAAAGAGCACAAAATATGTACTAAGTGGTGGTACCTCTCGATGTCTTTTCCTAGTTGGCGAGGCACGAGCCTCAGCAACTGATGCCTTCGCCTCTTGGATTGCCTTTAGTCGGGAGCGGGTCATACGCTCTGTTGTATCAATGGAGGGAAGAGCGACTTGCAGAGGTTGGACAGACACCACCCCAGAAGGTTGAGACTTCTCTACGGTAGGCAAAGACAAAAGTTTAAAGAGGCAAAACAGACTAGTCTATTTCCCCTGACCAGAAGGGAGACGAAGTGATAAGTCAAGTTGTGGAATGATCATACAAGTGTCAATGATAATGTGTTAAATTTAGACTCCATTTGGTAGAGTTCTCTAAACTTAATTCTATCCTTACATTTGAGTATGGTGTTTGGTTCGCATTTTGAAAAATTGATTCCACACCCACTTTTCAAAACATGCCTACCCGGTCATCCCCCTCGGACGTCCGGCTGGACGTCCGACCAGAACAGCGTTTGGGAACAGAGTTTGGTTTTTTTTTTTTTTTTTTTGCACTTGTTATTTTTATATTTTAAATAAAAAGTATTTTGAATTTTTTTTTAATTTTTTTATGAGTTTTGAATAGAATTTTTGGTTGTGTGTTTGGTTATCAGTTGTAAATCTTTTAATCAAATATCATATGTCACATCCCTCAATTCAAAACTCTCTTCAAAACTCATAACCAAATAAATTTTCTACACTCAAATCATAATTCCAAATCTCACAAACTCAAAATACAACTCTGTTCCCAAATTATAATTCTAAAACTCTATCAAATGCAACTTTAATTTTTTTTTTTTCTTTTCCCGAATCATATATCAAAATTAAACAATTCCTTATCAATTATCATTAAAAAAAAAAAAAAAGAAATGATATGATTGGATTGGAACATAAACAAAACAAGGAAGTACCGTTCTTGCGTTGGGCACGGCCATTGGAGGAAGAGGGGGCGTGAGCAGGGTCGTCTGAGTGGTAACCATCGGGCACGTAAAGCGGGTCATGAATCGGGTCCAAGGAAGGAGAGCTGGGATTGGGTGAAGCGGCGGCGGCGGAGGAAGAAGAATGATCGTGAGCAGAGAGGTTCCCCATATTGGCACTCTTCTTGCCATCTGTGAGTCTAAACCCAAACAGCTTCACACTACCACTTCCTCCTCCTCTGGATGGGCATGTTCGAGAGTTGTGACCGTCGTTGGCACAATGAGAGCACCGCCGAGTCATGGCCCAAACTCAAACGGTGTGTATGGTCTCTAATAATATGTAGAGACAAGTTTTGGGTAAGCGAGTTTTTGTGGAGAAGACTTTAAGAGGAAGTCTTCGTCGGGTGGGTGTGGGGAGGAGTCCGAGGGGTGTTTTGGGAATTTTGATAAAAAGTTAATTTTTTGATTTTTTAATTTTTTTACACAAAAAAAAAAAACTAAAAAAACTAAAAATAAAAAAAAAATTAAATTTTTTATCAACTTTTTAAAACACCACCGTATGTTTTTTGAGGATTTATAAGGAGGAAGGGAAGAAAATATTATATGAGTAAGGAAAGAGGAGGAAATTAGGGTACTGGATTTTCAGATTAATTACCAAATTAACCGAAGGCTAACGCGGTTGTTCGTTGGCTGGTATTGGATTGGATTATATTTGTATAATTTATTTTTATTTATCAGAATTAGATTTGTATAAATTTGAACAACTGGTTTTTGACTAGCCTCATTTGGGAAGTGGATTGTGAGTTAAAAGTTAATTTTTAGTTTTTTAACCTATTTTGGATTTTATTATTTTTCATATTTTTTATACATTGTTTAAAAAAAAGTTAAAAAATGTTAAAAAATTAATTTTTAACTATCTTTTTAAAATATCTCTAAAGATGCATTTGAGAATTAAGTTATTTTATTTATAATTGGTATTTTAATATTTTGATTATTTTAATTTGATTAAAAAATTATATTGAAGATTATAATTAATTTTTTAATTGATTTGATAATTATGACCAAAAAAAATATAATTTAAATGTAACATTTTATTTTATTGACTATTTTATTTTATTTTATGTTTATTAACTATTTTAATATAAATTCTAATTATTAACTTTAACCCTTTTTCATTGGATAGCGTCCTTCCGCGCCTTTGCCTAGAGCATCTCCAGAAGCCTCTCTATTCTTCCATATTTGTTACTATAGCTAGCTTGTAAGGGTAAACGATGGCTCCAGCAGACTCGCCCAAGCATCGCCAAGATGATTGTGAGCTACAGTACCTCGCCAGGACAAGCGAGGTACTGTTCATGCACCTTTTAATTTTTATTTGTTTTTGGCTGCTGAACTTTGTTTTTGGCGGTAAAATTTTTCATTTCTGTTTATTTTGTTCATTTTGTTTTTTGCTTGATTTGAACTCTGACCCAAAATTAATGCCATTCTGTTATTAGTATAATTTTGATAGATTACATAAAATATTGATCAATCTTCAATGGGTTCAGAAAATATTGATGAAACAGAGAAGAAAATTTATACAGACTATTTTGTTTCTTTGTTTCTGGCTAATAGTAAAATGTATTCATGAAAAATCAAAGATCACATCTTGCATATATTTGAAATTGTTGAATTTGGTTTAGTATTTGATGTTTCTTCGGATTTGGATAACATAGAACACAATTTAATGTTGTTGCACAATGACCTGTCAACTGTTTGATAAAATGCTTATAAGAAACTTAGGCTACTAAAATGAAGTGAGTGAACGTAATTGGGTTTAGTATTTGATGTTTCTTCGGATTTGGATAACATAGAACACAATTTAATGTTGTTGAATTTGGTTTCCTGGGCACGTCTTTGGAAACTAGAAATGATTTCATAAATCTCTTGCCTCCTTGTATGATTCAAGCTTCATACTTGATAAAAAAATATATATATTTTTTAAAAAGGCTTCATGCATGATAAATGGGTGGCACCGTGGAAATTTATTCTTAATGATAAGGAAGAAATTTAGAACAAAATAATTTGTAAGTAGAAGTAAGAAAATATTTAGGATGACTAAATGCTGATATCAAGTAATGAAGTTATTGATTGATTCCTTGTGGATGAGATGGAACATAGTAGATAAGCAGAAGAGGACATGATTCTGTGTTATTATTTGTTTTCTGAAATATGTAGATTTTGTTTCCACAAAAAGTAACCTTTGAAGTTAGTCTATTTGTTTTTCATTTGTGGGCTCATTCTAGGATTTCAAGAAAGCACATAATTGGAACCATTTGACTATCTTTGTGGTTGCTAGTATTTTATTTGTTAGATGAACTGATGAACTGATAGTGTTATAGTTCATATTTAGATGAACTGATCTCATACTAGAACCTATTCCAATTTCAGTTGACATCAATATCTGCTGGAAATCAAACTGCAAGTTAATGGGTAGGATGCCTCATTATTCAGTGACTGATTTTTTGGTTAGAAGAAATATTTTTATTGTGACCACATTAGTACAATTTGATTGGATTTTGGTTATGTTGAGATTTTTTTGACAATTCCTGAATATATTATGCTATGGAAATACATGTTTGTAGTTTGTTCCCACGGTAGAGACAGTAATTCAATGATGGGTTTATCTTTAGTCTTGACACACATCATTTGGAGAACTAGTGTACAAGTATAACTAGTGTAGTCTGTTAAGATTCAAGTACCATAACAGTTTTGACTTTCTAGACTAAATTTCAGGGCAAGCTTAAAGGTGGATGAAGTGTCACTTTTTAAGTTGTCATTAGGGCTATACCAATATAATATATCTGATCTCATTAAATAGATGATAAGCCAATCCTTTTCTTTTCTTTTAAGTAATTTCCCCCACTCTTCTCTGGCTTCAATCAAATGGTTCCTAATTTATACTATTGCAGGACCAAAATCTCGTAACGGTATGGCTGAGGATATTCCAAAAGCAAAAATAAAGTCTGTGGCCAAATCATCCAAAATAAGGAGTTCAACTCTAATGCAACCTACAGCAAGTCACTTGGCAAAGCTAAGCCAAGGAAGAGAAGTTCATTCCATCCGATTCTTGGAAAGGTTATAGTTGTTCTTTCTACAGTATGATTGAATATTAACAGTTTGTCATTATCTTTTAATTTGTTGCCTGCACTATTGATAGTGTTTTTTGATTTCCAACTATCGTTATTATTAATTTCTGGTTTGTTTAGTATCATTCCGGTATATTTGCTTCCTTTTTGTCCTCCCCCTCCCCACTTGTCTATTTCTGATTTTCTGTATCTGTTTCTTCAATTCACTTTGCTGCCTTTAACTGCCAGGTCACAAAAGCCATTAACTAAATCAGATGAGAGAAGTTTGAGGAATCCTCTTGGGGTAGACAGAGATGCTACCAAAAGGCAAAAACTAGAGAATGGTTAATTGTGTAAGGTAAATTTGATGTATTTACCCATATTTTGGTGGACTTGAGTCTTGATGTATGCATTATGAATGTAGAATCTGTATGAAAACCAATATCTTTTTGTCAATGTATTCATGTGTTAATAATTAAATACATCACACACATGTTATACCAATTACCTTGGTATTAATCTGGTTTGGAAATTGTGTGTGCATCATTTACTTTCTAGAAGCCAGACTGAACTTGAAAGCTGAAGCCTGAAACTATTTTGACAAGTTTTAAGTGAATTTTAAGGTTTACTTCTAATGACTTTCCATTTAGAGTAGAATAACATATGGAAATGGGAAGAAGATAAGAGTGGAAATATAATTAAAGTGAAAACCATATAATTAAAGTGAAAACCATAGAATTAAAATGATAACCATATAATTAAAAGACATATAGAATTATAAAATTACACATAAATTAAAAGCATATACTGATTACATTCAAAACTAATAGCATACTACATAAAATGAAACTTCAAATTCAAAACTTTTACAACTCGCTGTGTAATTGCCACAAGTGTTCGACAAGGTCCGATTGGAGATGAGAATGTGTTTGCCTATCTCTAATGTTATGATGGCATTGAATGAATTCCATAAGTTCAGTAGTTCTCTCCTGTGACACTGTTGCATGGGGACTGTCATTGATTTGATCATAATTGAAGTCTTTTACTCCATTGTCATCCTGCTCATCCTCAATGATCATATTATGTAGAATTATGCACGCCTTCATAATATATTTAAGCATTTTAGTATTCCAAAAACGTGCTGGTCGACGCACAATTGCAAATCGTGCTTGAAGCACTCCAAATGCACATTCTACATCTTTTCTTGTCGCCTTTTGAGTTGCAGCAAAAAGTTTTTTTTATTTCCTTGAGGAGAAGGAATTGTTTTCACAAATGTTGACCATTGTGGTTTTTTTTCTTATTTCCTTGAGGAGAAGGAATTGTTTTCACAAATGTTGACCATTGTGGTTATATACCATCGGCGAGATAGTATCCCATTGTATATTCATTACCATTGATGGTGTAATTGACTGCAGGAGCACGCCCTTGAGCAAGTTTGGTAAATACAAAAGACCTTTCTAGCACGTTGATATCATTATGAGACCCAGGTAATCCAAAAAATGCATGCCAAATCCAAAGATCATAAGATGCAACAGCTTCCAAAATAATTGTTGGTTCATGAATGTGACCAGTATACATACCTTTCAACGCAGTCGGACAACTTTTTCATTTCCAATGCATACAATCAATGCTCCCCAGCATTCCAGGAAATCCACGACTTTCACCAACCACTAGTAGTTTAGCGATGTCATTGCTGTTTGGTGACCTCAAATACTCATTAGAAAAAATATCAACAACTGCTTTAACAAAATATTTTAAGCTTTCTATTGCAGTGCTTTCTCCAATTCTCACATATTCATCCATAAAATCAGCGGCTACTCCATAAGCAAGCATCCTAAGCGCAACAGTAAGCTTCTGAAGAGAAGACAAACCAAGCTTTCCAGCACAATTTCTTTTTTGGAGAAAGTATGGATCGTGCGCTTCTACTACAGCTTGAATTCGAAGAAAAAGTGAACGCTTCATCCGAACCCTCCTTCGAAATAGCTCAGGAGGATATACAGGCAATTCAGCAAAATAGTCGAGAAAAAGCCTTTCATGACCTTGAATATGATCACGATGAATGACTTTACGACATCGAACAGAACTACGACGTGAGCTTGATCCTATTTCACTATCTAGTAGTTCTTCATCCATAGTAACAGCTTTGAGCATCTCCAAATCATCATCAGATTCAGAGAAGTTAGAGTCATTTACAAGCACATCATAAAGAGAATTGGAAGCTATAGAGAGAGATATGGAAGTTTGGATGAAATGGAAAATTGAGTTGAGGGTAAGATCAAATGATAGGGAATGTCTTATTTATAATGGAAAAGTATAAAAATATGACCGTTGCAAAAATATGACCGTTGGAAAAATATGACCGCTGTAAAAATTCGAAAAAATATGACCGTTACAAAAATATGACCGTTGAAAAAATATGACCATTTGAAAAATACGATAGTAGAAAAATGTAACTTTTACAAAAATATAATTATATTTAGAAGAATGAAAAAAATAATAATTTGAAAGAAGTTAGTTTTTTTTTTTTTTAGATTGGAAAGAAGATAGTTAAAGTATAAGAATATTTTAATAGAAGATAGCTAAAGTAGATAGCCTTGTTGGAGTGTATATTAAAAAAATGACTAGCTAAAATAGTAAAGTGAAATTTTGAATAGCTATTTTAACTAGCCTTGCTGGAGATGCTCTAACTAGACTACTTTGGCCAAGTGTTTGGCCTTGCTAGGATGTTTACTCATAAATTTGGCTTTGTACTTGGCCAAAGAGATGAGGATCATCCATTTGTACAAAATGATCATCTTCTATTGGGATATAACCATCTAAAGGTTGGCCAGCATTAGAATGAGGGTTTTGCATACAATCTTCTTGTATCTCAACATCATTAAATGTTCTTCTCTTTAGCACTGTCTTTACCATATTTTCAATACAAAAATGGTCTCACTGAGCGTGCTAAAAAATATATATTGACTATTTTTAACACTTTAAAGATTAGAAATGTAATTAGAGCATGCTAGTAAAGATCTAAAAAATCCTTACAAATAATAAATGCTAAATTTATCAGACGATTATGTAGGACAATCTTCACTGTAATTAATTAATTCAGTTTGTGTACTTAACAACAAACAGAATATAAAAGAAATAAAGGAAATGAGAGAATTTGTTTTGATTACAAAAAATCAAACTCGAAATAATAAATAAATAAATAAAAACAGATTTAATTTTGTTAGAAAAACAAAATTAAAATCTGATTTAAATAAATAAAATAACACTGAAAATAAATTAAATAACTTACTTGATTTATTTGTTCGAATTATAATCTGATCAAGTCCAGTTTTGACACTGTGACTTAAGACAGAATTCGTCCTCTCCACGGTGCTTTCAGAATTTGGACGTCTATCTCCTAGGATGAAATGATCTACTACAAACAATAGACACTACAAATTGTTTGCCTACGAACTACGCTAAGTGTTTACACTCTTTCTTTCAGAAATTAAATGCAGCAAAATGCAGAGTATTTATAGCAGAGGATAGATACAAAATTGGAGTAAATCCAAATGGGAGGCTAGTCTATTTATAGATGTAAAGGTAGCTGCTGGTTTTGAATTGAACAGTATGAAACCTGTGGTTTTGAATTCCAACAGATTTGAATCTGTTGGGTCATAAATTAAACAGATACAAAAACGGGAAGGGCCCTGTTTGGATGTACAGTAAAACCAACCAGTTTATTTCCGGTTAATTTGAATTCGGATTTTATTTTATCAAATAAAACTTAATCAAATATTTTTGCCCAAAAAGATTAGTATTGGGCAGAATAAGCCAACCTCACACCACGACGCGCCAGCCCAGTGCCCAGCCAGCCGCACCGACGGCCGGGGGACGGCAGCGGCGCGCGCGTGTGGTGTTTTTGGTCAATGGGTCTAGGCATTTGCCATAACCTCTCCCTAAAACACTTGGATACCCTTGGGGCAACCCAAGTACCAAACCAGTTATAAACCTATTCAAACTTCCACCAAATCAATGTGGGACAAGCCATTTTACAACCTTAAGGAATTTTCACCAAAACTCCATTTCTATGGAGCACACTTTGGCTTCAATTTCCCATTCACTCGGTAATGGTTTTGAGCAACCAAATATACCACGTGAATCACAACGCAGCATAGAACGCGTTACCACTTTAACTCGTGAAAATCGACACATGGGGCCCACCTAAAAAATAGACCAAACGTAGGAAAAAAATTCTGGTTTTATCCAGAATTTTATAACCATTTCCAACAATCCCCCACATGAATGGAATTTGATGACAACGGAAATGCAACAATATGCAGACTTTATCGAAAGAGTATAAGTCAAAAATATCTTGCATCAAGATAGGTAGCTTTCAGCCTAGAACCTTCCCTAGTGATAACCTATCGGACTTACTGGCTAACCAATGGACGCGATGCCTTGAATTGTTCAGCCGTTTTTATAAGCCAAGACAACAGATTTCACACAAAATATCTTCTAACACATCATGGTTCTCACTGTTGTGTTCATTTTGGCCTTGAATGTGCCTGGTTTTCATAAGTGTTTCTAGAGAATTTAGCCTCTTCATTCTCATAGAACCGGCCCCAGTTCAACACTCATATAGGTGATTCTTATTGTGAGTATCTCCATATACTCGTCTTGATTTTATGCCTCAATCAAGATATAAGTAATCATTAAAAGCAAAGCTTATCCTTATACCCCTGCATACAACATATGTTGCAAATATCAATCTCACCATAGGAATGGGTAGGAACTTAATCCTTTGGTGATTTCTGGCGAGCTATACATAACTTAGTTGTCCCTTTGAACTTAGTTCTTGGGATCTCCAGTCATATAAGTAAGGTTACCATTATGACGACTCTTATGTAATAGGCTTTAATCTCATCCCCTTTAATAAACTATACACTAGCTCTTTTGTCAAATCTTTTCTTGACGGATCCGCAATATTCTCTTTAGATTTTATATAATCTATTGAGATTATTCCGTTTGACAACAATTTCCTTACGGTATTATGTCGACGACGAATATGTCGTGACTTACCATTATACATATGATTCTGTGCCCTGCCTATTGCAGATTGACTATCACAATGAATGCAAATAGCTGGCACAGGTTTTGGCCACATTGGAATGTCTTCTAAGCAGTGACGAAGCCATTCTGCTTCTTCTCCTGCTTTGTCTAAAGCAATGAACTTGGATTCCATTGTGGATTGTGCGATGCATGTTTGTTTCGTGGACTTCCAAGAAACAGCAGGGCCTCCCAGAGTAAAGACATATCCACTTGTGGATTTTGAATCTTTTGTATCCGATATCCAATTTGCATCACAATAACCTTCAAGTACTGCTAGATATCGAGTAAAGTTCAAACCATGATCACGAGTGAATCTCAAATATCTAAGAACCCGAATGATCACTTTCCAATGGTCTTCTCCGGGGTTACTAGTGTACCTACTCAATTTACTGATAGCATAAGTTATATCAGGACGAGTACAATTCATTAGGTACATTAGGCTTCCAATGATTTGAGAGTATTTTAACTGAGACACTGCATCACCTTTATTTTTCGATAAATAAAGATTGACGTCTACAGGTGTTCTAGCTAAATTCATATCATCCTTGATAAATTTATCAAGAATTTTCTCAATATAATGAGATTGAGATAACGCATATCCGTCAGATATTTTAGTAATTTTCATTCCTAATATAACATCTGCGACCCCCATATCTTTCATATCAAATCTTTTGTTAAGCATCTGCTTAGTTGATTTGATCATGTTTTAACTGCTTCCAATGATAAGCATGTCATCCACATAAAGACAAACTATGACATATCCTTGGTTAGTGTTTTTAACATAGACGCATTTGTCACATTCGTTTATCTTAAACCCATTAGTAAGCATTGCATGATCAAATTTTTCATGCCATTGCTTAGGTGCTTGTTTTAATCCATAAAGAGACTTTACAAGCTGACAAATTTTCTTTTCTTGCCCCGACACTACAAACCCTTCGGGTTGCTCCATATAGATCCCTTCATTTTGATCACCGTTTAAGAAAACTGTCTTAACATCCATTTGATGTATTTCTAAATTAAACAACGCCGCTATAGAAATAAGCATGCGAATGGATGTTATTCTTGTCACGGGGAAATATGTGTCAAAATAGTCCAGACCTTCCTTTTGTCTGTCACCTTTAACTACAAGTCTTGCTTTATACTTGTCAATTGAACCATCTGCTTTCATTTTTCTCTTGAATATCCATTTATATCCAAGAGGTTTAGAACCTGGTGGAAAATCCACCAATTTCCAAGTATGATTTTGCATAATGGATTCAATTTCATTATTAACAGCCTCTTTCCACAAAGGTGCTTCAGGACCTGTCATTGCTGCCTTAAAGCTTTGAGGTTCATTTTCTAACAGGTATGTCAGAAAATCTAGACTAAACGATTTTGATGTTCTCGCTCTCTTACTTCGTCTTGGTTCATCATCAGTTAAATCCTGTTGGTCGAGACTATTACTAATCTCTTGTATTTAATTGCCATTAGTCTCTTGACTTTGTGTACAATCATAAGTTCTTTTCTGTGAACTTAATTCCTGTCCTTTCTTTTAAGGAAAGACATGTTCAAAAAACACAGCATTTCTTGACTCCATAATAGTGTTCACATTTATATCAGGTATTTCTGATTTATAAGTTAGAAACCGATATGCACTATCATTCTGAGCATAACTAATAAACACACAGTCTACTGTTTTTGGTCCAATCTTAGTCTTTTTAGGAACAGGAACTTCAACATTTGACAAACAGCCCCACACTTTTAAGTATTCGTAGGAAAGTGGTCGACCTTTCCACAATTCATACGGAATGCTTTTGGTTTTCTTGTGGGGTATTCTATTAAGAACATAATTAGCAGACAATATTGCTTCCCCTCACAAGTTCTGTGGTAAGTCTGAACTTAGTAACATGGCATTCATCATTTCTTTTAGGGTTCTATTCTTCCTTTCAGCAATTCCATTTTGCTGTGGAGAATAAGGTGCTGTAGTTTGGTGAATAATGTCATGTTGTGCACAAAATTCATTTAATGGTTGTAGACGTCCCCGAACGCCCCCGGGAGGAACGAGTCCCCCCATTCCGTTTGATATTGGGCTCACTACAGTTCAGGACTCTCAAATTGTCACGGTTCTTAATCTGAACCAAAGAGTCCAAATCCGGCAAATCGTTTTGAGAAAACAGATTTTTAGAAAAGAAGTGCCAAACATGGACTGCTTTGCCAGATACAGAGTCGCCACCTAAATATTTTATTTTGGGGGAATTTAGGAAACCCTGACTCGGTGCCAAAGGCCACGTGTCCGTCATCACCAAAGTTGCCTCGGCTCGACAACTTGGGTATGATTGGAGAAGGTCAGCTATGAGCACCCCCTCTCGCCCGATTCGAAGATCGGCCTCTACTAACCGTGATATCTAATTTTGAAAACATTATGAATTCTTATTCCGGTTATTAGCCTAGAATTACTATATTATGCGCACAGCAAACAAGTATAGACTAGATTGCCTAATTTGGAAATAAGCATTGCATATCAGTTTGTTTAAAAAAATGCTTTGGAATTTGCTACTCGCAAGTAGGCTAAAATACGGATTTTAACGAATTATTCCAACTCAAACAATCCAACCTTCACCCACAGGCATTCAGGCAATTATAACACATAAGCATCTAGCCACATGGTAAGCATGCTGTCAAGTTAACATTCACACTCATACGAGATGCTAAAACATAAAATACTTACAGTGTACTCCATGCTAAAACAGAAACCATTTAGTAATCACATGCATGATCCTAGTTCATGTTAAGATGGCTAATGCAACACATGCAAGATGCAACTAAGATAGGCTCGACTAATC